CCTGCACTAACCACTGGGGATACATTCATTCATTCAGCAAATGTTTATTAAGTCTCTACTATGTGCCAGGCACTGATCAAGAGGTTGGGATACAGCAGTGAATAAAACAGGCAGCATTTGCACCCTCATGAAGTTTAAGTTCTATTGGTGTGGGGTGGGGGGAGATTGTAAACAAGTATACGCTCAATACGGCAGGTGTTGAGTTGCCATGAAGAACAAAGGAGGTAAAAGATAAAGAAGGCCATGGGTGAACTTTATATAGGATGTCTTGGAAGGCAGGTCTCTGGGGAGCTATCATTGAAGTAGACATTTAAGCTTTCTCCCTGAAGAAAGCTAAGGAAGGAGACATACAGGTATGTGGAGAAAAGCACATGACAAAGAGTACAATTGGAATGACTCAATCTATTATACCTCAAGAAACGGGGGGGGGGGGGGGGGTGGGGGGGAGGAATGAATGACTTATTATACACAAAAGCCTTCTAAGTTGCCTCAAATCCTTTCTGGGAAGAGGAAAAGTGTAAATCAACCATAAATGCCTTACCTACCCAACATGGACGAAACAATCTAAAATAAGGATAGAATGAGATGAATGTTATAAAGGATTTTTAAAGGTATAGAAGGCTATATAAATATACAGTAATGCTATATACTAGCCATCAGTTTCCAGTAACAATCAAGACCAAGTATGCATCTATATTTGAAGATCTTATGCACAAATTAAATTGGTGCTGGCCTGAGTCTAAGAGCTAATACAAGTGCTAAAATTGTCCTAGGATTTGGTGGTTATAGTGAGTAAACATCTAGCCTGCTCAGAGCTGTACTCCAGGCCTGTAGTCTGCACACAAACGCAAATGCAGTCTCCTAGTATACCATTTCCTGCTGCATTTGATTAGGCAAAACTGAAATCTTCTAGGCAAGATGTGACCTGAATTTCTTTATTTACAAGGAAATCACTGGTCAGAAAATACCTTAGCCTTTGGCAATTAGTCAACCAAATTCATTTAGCACAGGTTGATATTTTTCCAGGACTGGTAAAATTCTAATTGAGCTTGAATCCTCCAGCTTCAAGGAGCTTCTCCTTCAAAATGTTGTTCTAACCTTCCAGCTTCTCTTACATTTTTCTTTAAATCTAACTTAGGGGGATAATCGAGAACATACACACACGAATTCAGCCCGAATGTGGCATTTTGGAGGAAAACCCCAGCTGAGTACACATGAGTGTGTTTCAACTTTGCCAGAAGAAAAATAGTTATGCATTATACATGGACTATAAAGACATTTTTTGTAAGCCTTACTTTAAAATGTTTGAATTTTAGAACTTAAAATGTTCCATGTGTTTAGTATTTCTTGTTCAGTTACACTAAAGAGAAGTGGTTGAACATTTAGTCTCAGCAAACATATTCCAAGAATGTTTCATATATTATTATTTTTGTAGCTATAGCGTTTGTAAACATGGCTTTTACATTCATTACTGGTTGTAAAGGGTCATTTATTCACTAAGTATTTATTATCTACTATGCATTGGGTCTTGTTTCAGGTACAGGAGATAAAACAGCAAATAAAGTTCATACATTAGAGGAAGCAGGCATAAATTAATTTATGAATGAATATAATATAATGTCAGGTAATGAAGCAATTATTCTTCTTGTTTTATTTAGGAAAAGGGAATGTGGGTGGGGCTGCTGTTTTCCAGGGGAAGCCTCTCCCTTGCAGTGACATTTGAATAAAGATCTTAATGATTGTAGAGGAGGCTTTTGGTGACTTGGGGAAAAAGTGTCCCAGGCGGATAGAGTGGGCCAGGTCCTGTTGGAGCCTGTCCAATCTTATATGCAACCCCATGTCACAGGGTTCTTGTGCCCGCAAAGTGGATTGATCACTGAATGATCTGGCTTCATTTTTTGGAGATTCAAGTGATGATAATGAATTGCAAGGAGAGCCCGCTGTCAAACTACAATCTCCTCATTCAGTTTCACATTAACACATATGAAAATGTACATTTGCTGTTTTCCATCCCAGGCCTATTTACCTTTGCATTCCAACAGCCTGAAAAGCCCTTTTTACTCCTCTATTTAATTTCGCCCAGATTTCAAGGTTTAATTTAAACTCTGCCTCCTGGGAGAATCATCCCAACCCTCTGACTGATGCTAAGTCACTCTTCCCCCTTTGTAATTGGAGATCTGAACCCAGGACTTCCCCACCAACAATAGATTGGTCTTCAGAGGAACCCAAATATTATATGTGAGAGAGTTCATGTGTAATTCTATGCGTGTTTTCCCAACAAGGGTGTTCATAAATCCCATGAGATTTTAAAACAAGTTTGTGACTTAAAAAGGCTGAGAACCACAGCATTCTTGGCCAATGCTTCTCAAACATTAAATGTGTACATGAATTATTCTCTACTTTATTAAAGTGAAGATACCAATTCAGTAGCTTTGGGGTGAGGTTTGGTGCTGTTGGTCCTGGGACCACACATGGTAGAAAGAGACTAGACTGTCATCAGCACGTGCTTGTGTACACTGGCACGGTGCTCTCTGTCCCTTAGGTAGACTGTAGGTTTCTGGATAGCAATGGCACTACCAACTCTACTTGGCTCTTCTCCCAGGTAGGGACTAATAAACAGCCTACTGATGGGACAGACAGGTGTTCTACAGATATTAGTCTTAACTAGGCTTCTAAGGCTACCACCAAATTTTTAAGGCTAAACCTTTCCAAAATTCTAACTCCTAAAATCTCCCTGAATCTCTTTTTCAGTAGGCCAGTCCCCTAGCATATTGAAATCTCAATCCATTAAATCTAAAAGCCATGTTTAGTACAGGGAATGCACTCATTTGGAAGGATAATTCACTAAATTAGGGACTTTTTTTTTCCCCCTCACTAAAGGTGTTCGGTACAAATAAATAATGTGGGGCATCAAAGAAACCAGGATAAATCAGTCAACAGTACTAGGCTCTCTCGGGCAGATTCTGGATAAACTGTTTAAAGCCCAGAAGCAAAGCCTCATTTTAAAAGAGGGAGAGAAGGCCTCTAGAAGGTGAGGGTGTACAAAACTGAAAATAGGGTTTTCACTATTGTGAAATTGTCATCTCAAACAACTTGCCCGCTACATTTGCACAAACTGTAAAATAAGTTATTTACTTAGTCCTGTGGAAATAAAGTGGTTTTAGCAGCAGCTAACAATAAAGCAAATGAAAAAAATAACACACAAGACATATGTGTAAGGAATGTCTTTATGTGTGCAAAAGGAATTTTTCATGTGGTATTTTATAAATATATACACACACATATTATTTGGATTTATAAAATACCTTATGTAATGAAAGCTATGCATAAATATTTATAAAATACCTTTTCTAAGTAGGCCAGTAACTTTTAATATTTTTCAATAAATTAATATATAAAATATATACATTAGTGCCAAATGGAACATATATTTTGAAATATGAACCCCAAGTTAAACTCTCAGGAATCTGGAGTAGAATCCAGGTATCTGCCAAAGGAAACTTTGGACCAGTTGTCATTTGAAGAAAGGAAACAATGCCTGGTCTCTTATCTTCATGGACTGTTTTACTTGTCAAACTTCTAACATCCCTTCAGCAGAGTTCTGTATTTGACTTCCAACCTCATGGCCGTTTGACCTGCCAACCATTATTTTCTTTGAGGTTTTTTAACGCTCCACCCAAGTATTTTGCTTTCCAGAACAGTTGTGTCCGTTTCCTTTTCTCTTCACCTTAACGTCAGCCTTGGTTCACAACGTCGCCGGCTTCACGTGCGCCCTCTAAGGTTTCAGACAGACGCAGGGCACCGCGGGGATGACCTGAAGCCGATGCCGCCATGGAAAGCCAACATGCCCTGGAGGTTCTCTGCTTTGTGCCAGGATTTTCATCCAACCTGAGAGTCCCAGGGCAGAGGCCCGACCCGAGAGTCCGAATCCCCCGGGTCCCAACCCCCTCCCCAGGCTGACTGTGCGGACCGGGACCTCACGCCGGAAAACACCGCCCTTTCCTGTCGCCTACTTCTTCCCCAGGCGGACCACAAGAGGAGGAAGAGGAGACCCACTAGAAAATTAACATTAATTAACCGGGTTCTCGCTCGGCCCCGGGCGCAGGGCGGGGCGTGCCGCGGCGCTGGCCGGGTGACCGGCGGGCGCAGGTGCCGCCGAGGGCGGAATTTTACGCTCCCAACCCGGCAGCTGCGCCACTTGCGCCTCGCCGCGCGTCTGGAGCAGCCGCCACCCGCCTGCCCTAGCTTTAGGCAAATTCCTTTGAAAGGCCCCGAGGGAGAAGAAACGCCTCCCTCTGGACGGAGAAACCTGCAGCGTCTGCCGCTCTTCGCGTGCACGCTCGCTCAGCCCCATCCCCCGCGTCTCCGGTGCGCGCAATCCACTCTCCGGGATTTGGCTGCAGCGCGAGGGGAGCGAGCCGCAAACTGACAGAACGCGACCCTCCCCGTCCCCGCCCGGACTGCGAGTGGCCTGGGAGCGGCGGCCCGGCAGGGAGGCCGGCCGGTCAGGTGGCCCCGCTCCCCTTCACGGCGAGCTCGCCTTGTTGGGACCGGGAGAGGTGGGCGCACGCAGTTCGCTGCGCGCGACCGGGATGCGGGCGGAGTCCTTTTGTCCTCGGGCACCCTGGCGGCAGCACCCCGGGATCTCTGTTTGAGCCGAGAGCCCCGCGACCTTTCTTTGTGCCCAGGGAGCCGGACGTGGCTTCTCCTCCGAAGGAAGCCGCATCCTGGAGGTGGCGCTGGGACGGTAACCGTGAGCGCCTATTGTCCTCCAGGCCCCGCGGAGCCCGCGGGCGGTGACCCCGGAGCGCTCGCGCCCGGCGGCCGGCGAGCCCCGGCCAGGGCGCAGGTAGCGCGGCGCCCCTCGCCCCGCCCGCCCGCCCGGGCCCGCCCCGCGCGGCCCCCCGGCCCGCCCCGCAGGTTCAGTGCTCGCGCCCGGCCGCCGCGCGCTCAGTCGCGCCGCACCTTCCCTCCGCGCCGCGCGGCCAGAGCGGGCGGGGAGCGCGGCGGCGGGGCCGAGCGGGGGCCAGCCCGACACCCGGCCGCCGGCCCGGGCGCCTTCACGCCGTCCCGGAGCGGAGAATGCTGTGAGCAGGCGCCGCGTCTGCGACCCCGCTGGGTCTGCGCGCACCGGCGGGGATTCTCGGCGGCTGCGGGTGAGTCGGTGCCAGCCCAGGGCTCCTTCTCTACCTGTCCGTGAGTCTGTCCCACCCGCGGCCGTGGCGCTTCCGGCGGGAGCTGGCGTTGGAAACCCACAGGGAGCGGGCACGCCGAGGGCATCGCTTTCCTGGCCGGTGTCCGGAGGACCGAAGGGTGTGACATAAGGCGAGCCGGGAGGGGGTCGGGCGGCACGAGCTGGACGCAGAGCTCCTCTAGTCGAGCCCACCACTTTTCGGGGTGGAGTTGCGCGGCTGCTCTGCACCCTCCAAGCCATTGAAAGAGCCATTCTGGGCGGGTATTGCGTTTTTCCATTTGAGAACAAGCAGCACTGGGCCACCGCGCCCCTCGCGTGGTGGATGGGCCGCACATGGGTGCACCCTGCAGATCTGCTGTCGCAGTGGCCGCCGGGTGCCTTCTCTCTTGGCGGAGATATTGTGATAGGAGGCTCCAACCTGCAGACCTGGCAGTGAATATATGTATGTATACATATATATATATTTTTTTTTTTTGACCGTGGTTTCTGAACAGCTGAAACGTTTACAAGATTTTTTTTTTTTTTGCCCTCTTTCTCCTTGAAACTGTCTTGACACAGACAAGTATCAGACATGTGAGGACGAATGGATCTGGCCAGTCATTTTTTCGTTATGAATTATTATGCTCCATCCCCCTCTCGACTTTGGGAGGCATGTGTTTCATCTTATAAATAGAAAGTAGCATATTTTTTGGCAGGACCTCCTTTATACTGTGCAGTCTTGGAGAGGTCAGTTTAAAAATAAATACGCACTTGAATGTTACATTACCGAGAGCCAGGCTGTGGCTGGGACAAGCTGCGTGGACAGCAGCATCAAAGCCGGGAGCACAGCTGTGTTGAAAGGAGGAAAAGCCCCAGAGTGCAGCCCAGGCTGACAGTCAAGTAATTACATTTTGTTTAAAGGGGGAAAAAAAGTGAATGAATTAAAATGAGGGCGGGAATAGGAATGTCAAGAGGGTTCTTTGCAACGTGAATCTCTCCAGCCCTGGTGTATTGGGGGAGTGGGTTGCTGCTGTGTGCTGAGAGTGTCGAGGGTCTGGGGAGGGAACTGATGAATGTGTTAGGGAGACAGAGATTCCCTCCCCACCCTCCAGATCTTAGTCCTCACACTGTCAGAGAGTTTCTTGGGGGTATTGCCTTTGAAAAAGAACAAAAATTAGGAGAGTAGCAGATGTCTGTATTTTAATAGCAAAGCCAGTCGTGGGGACTTCCCCTTAACATCGCAGGGAATAAAAAAGCTCACCAGGAAGCATTGATGATGCCCCAGGGGTATCCTTAAGGCGATTTAAAAGGCTCGGAAAATGTTCTAACTTATAAAAGAGCTTTCATCTTACAACCAGGAAACGCAGCTTCTCTTCTTTTCTGGACAGTTCCAGAAGTCTTCTCTTTGATACCACCTGAATTTTGTATGAGCTCCAGCTAGAATAAGCTACACCGGTTTGTGTGTGACACAAACCCTTTTCAGAAAAGATTCAAACCCTCAGAACTAAGCTGGGGCAGTTGTGACGTGTTTAGCACTGTCACATGTGAAATAAATGATGAAGGCTGTTTACATATTCAAGGAATGGTTACAAGTTCTTCATTAAGTCTTCCAAAGAATGTAGGTCTCCCAATAGGCCTCACCCATTGAATAAAACACTCAGCACCAGACTCTGGCTGGACTCACCGATAAAAACTTGAGAGGGGAAATTTGAAAACATTTCTGGACCCATGGCAGTTTCTGTTTTCTAGTGGTATCATCTGCTAGAGATTTACATTATGAATTCCATGATTGGAACATGGTGCTGAGGCTGTGGCAGTTACAGACTTGAAATAAGATGAGCTCCCCCTTCCCTCAGTCTGAGCAGTGAAATTCTGTTTTCTGTCTCAATAGAACATGTAAAGGCAGCTAGAGTAATAAGTGTTGCACATTTTTTGTTTTTTATTGCAGATTTAAGTGTGGTGCAAGATGAATAAATACAAAGCCATAACCATGATTGCAGAAGGGCTCACATGAGTTAGTTTGCCCTCTGTTTCAGTTTTTGCTTTAATGTGGTGTTTTGTTTTATATCCAACATGTTCACAAAAGCTGCCATTTTTCACTTATAAAATTTCTGGTATTCAACAGTGTTGGGGATAAAGTTGCTTTAACCTATGTCACCCCAAGATTTTTTTACCAGGCTATAAATTTTTCACAAGCTCTTTGCCCATTACCCATAGCATTTATCCAGTGGATGGAAAATAATTCATAACCTGAAAACCTCCAAGAAGACTGCTCTGAATTACTATTATTATTATTATTGTTAAGGTCCTTGCTTTTAATCTTATTTCATCTAATTCCAGCCTGATTTCTTTCTAACCAGAGTCCCTGGACCTGTTTTTGTTTTAATTGATTGAATAAGAACTTAAATCTATTTTTAAACGTGGTATATCTGCCAGAGAACAAGTATAGCCATTTGAAACTACTAGATAAAGCCAGCCACAAAATCTTCTGAGTGCAGACCACCAAGAATTCTCCTACTGTATCACACTGTTCATTACTTTGGATGTTAAAAGTACTTCCTACATGAGCCCGTTCTGAATGCCAAGTACTCTTCTTAACCCTTTATTTCAGTGAGCTCACTTGTTTCTAACAATTACCTTATGAAAGAAAAACTGTTTATATCCTCATTTTACAAGTATGGAGACTGAAGACAGACCAGTCATATAACTTACCCATAAGGAGATTACCTCAACATGCATATATAGTGCAACAGCACAGGATGTGCGTGCATGAGTGGCTAGTCCTACATGAAAGCTGTTGGGTTAAGGGGATGGGAAAGAACCCTGAGGTTATAAAGCTTCCCTAGATCAGATTGCCTGGACACATGTCCTAGCTCTGGCACTTAACACTTGTGTGACTTTGGGCAAGTTACTTAGCCTGTGTACCTCGGTTTGTCAGTTGTAAAATGGGGATAATATGTTTCCCTGAGGATTAAGGAGTTAAAAAAAAAACAGTGTACTTAGAACAGTGCCTGATCAGACTAGGCACAATGAAAGGTTGATGTTTTCGTTGTTGGTTTTGTTGTTTTCTTACATGCTTAATACTGGTTTTTTTAATTTAATATGCATAACTATTCTTTGAGATAGATAGTACAGTAGCTTCCTCTTCTCCATGGTTTTACCTTCTGGGATTTCAATTGCTCACAGTCAACCAAGATCCAAAAATAAGTGAGTACAGAACAATAAGATATTTTGAGAGAGACCACATTCGTATAACTTTTATTAGAGTATACTGTTATAATTTTTCTATTATTAATCTCTTACTGTGCCTAATTTATAAATTAAACTTTATCATAGGTATGTATTATATGCATAGAAAACAATAGTATACGTAGGATTTTGTACTGTCTGAGGTTTCAAGCGCCCTTGGGGTAGGGAGAAGTCTTGGAACAAAGTATCCCTCAAGGATAAGGGAAACTATTGTATTGCTCTTCTTCTCCAGATAAGAACACAGGCTCAGAAAGCTTTAGTAACACGGCCAAGGTCACACAGCTAAGTAAGTAACAGAATGAGAATTTGAATTCAGGTCTGTTTGAACCTGTACTAGGTACCACACCCAACCACGGGGAAAGGAGGGGTTTGAAAAGTATTATGTTTAATTCTTGGTATGTCTTTTGGCCTCCAGCAAGGAAGTCATTTCGGATTACCCTGTCTCTCATTGGAAGATGACAGTAACTGGCAGCCTCAGGGAATACTCTGTGAATTATTTTATTATTAAAGGTGGTTCAATCCCACATGTATGGTGACATTCTTCTCCTACAGTAGATCCAGTATGAAAACTGCTAGAGTTAACATAAGCAGTTTAATTTATGTCGTAAGTGTCATTTGCTAGGTGAAAATGTGGGACTTTGTGATGAAGACAGCAAGTTATGCCACAGCCAGGGACGAGGAATTTGGGGGGCCAGGGATGAAGTGGAGCTGTGGTGTAGACCAAATCTTTGCTTCCGAGTTCTAGAGTGTCCGGTGCAGGGTCCAGTAACCACGTCTGGACAGTCACCAACTTGAGGCCAGCAGCCCCATCCGCAGTGCCTGGCCCTTCAGCACATGGCACTCAGTGGGCATTTAGTACATGTTTGGTGCTGATGTTGCTCCAAGAACTGAACAAAGGAGGAGCTGCAGGTAAGGTGGGCAGGAAGGCTCTGGTCTCTGGCCTTGGCAGAAGTCAGGCCCTGTCACAGCTCTGCATATGCCCCGGTCCCTGCTAGATAAGCTTCTGGTGTGAAAGATAGAGCAGGGAGGCCTTTGAACCCCTCGGGTGTGGTCTGGGTAACCCATGTGGCCTGCTAGGCCTCCACTGCCTTTGATGCTCTGGGTTTGCGATTAGCTGTGGGAGTCTGCTCAGGGGCTGCTCAGACTGAAGTGTGGGTTCTGGAAAGGACAGCTCGAAATTACTCACACTGCCTCAGCACCCAGAGTAATAGCCTTGGAGCTGTCCAACTCCATTTGGAATCTTCTCTTCTGTCCCCACCCTTCAAAGGCAGCAAAACAACACCCCACAAACCAGAATAAATGAGTAGCCACATAGCTCTACAGCAACAGTCTGGTGTGTTTCTTTCCTTTTAGAAAAAAGCCTTTCTTGGCCTCGATATACTTCAATGTCAAATTTCACCAGAGTCACATGATGATGGACTGAGTTTGACAGTACCTCTGGTGGAAAAGCAGTTTTCTAACTTTAACCATATAGTTTTTTAACACGAAGCATGACATTGGACATTAAAAAGATTATTATTTCTAGATAGCCAAGCAAACTAAAAGCTGACAGGTTTCAAACTACTGTTTGCTTAGTCCTTACTGCTTGCCTATGTCATGAATTCATAGTAGAATTCTAGAATCCCAAATTTAAAATAAAAAAAAAGGATTTTCAGTGATTTGAGTTTTATTTGCATATTTGAGAAAGTTGTTATTAATATTAGCCTCTAGCCTCTGGTTCTTTGTGTTGCGGAG